GGCCAATTAGACTATGGAATGCTTTACCAGGATTCTTGAAGAAAATTGATAATTTGAATAGCTTTCAAAAGACTCTGACCGACCACTATAAGTCTAGTTTTAAAGACATTTGTCATTTTAATATAACTTAATTCATTATAATATATATCTTAATTTTTTTCTATAGAATTATTCTAGTTTTAAGTAATTTGTGATCTGTGTTTTTATATATTTATATATAGTTTATCACATTTTATTGTAATTTTATTATTGTCTTAACATTATTTACATATATTTATTAAGAATTAGATAGAGGGCCGTAGGTTTGTCAATTCTTAACTGTTATGCGTTACCCTCTTTAAATAAAGTTGATCTTATCTTATCTTATCTTATCTTATCTTATCTTATCAAGAAAATCAACCCTAGAACGCTGATCTGACTTACAAACGCCGTTCGTGGTAGGCCCATACTAAAAGATGTTCAGCGTGATTTTCGGAACAGGCCGGTCCACGAGCTCAGTTCTTACTAGTTCTTACCAGATATCACATGATTCAAACGATCAAAATATTACTCAAAGTTACAATACTGACAAAACTACAGAGACTGTGCCGTTTCTATTGTTTATATGACCTTTCAGGTGAAATTTATCTAAATCTCACGTAAATTGCATATTTTGTTCAAATAACCTAGACGCTCTTAGAGGGTAAAGTCGGGCTAGCTATTTTGGAAAACTGAGAAAGACAGAAGTTACTTTAGAGTTCATTTCGGTAAATTAATTCTGTCTTGACTTATTTCAAACAAAGACTGTATTGTGAAAATGAAATACTTATAGCTCAATGGCGGCAGCTGAACCATTGTCGCAGCTACAGGAAACCCACGTAAGCGATCCATGAGCGGTCATATATATTATAAGTTATTTCATGAAAGAGATAAGACGTTTCGAATATCATACAGTACAAACATTAAAACCAAGTTGAACTTGCCCAACTTATTTAGCTTTTTTTCCCAAACTTTTGGCTAATCAANTTGTTCCATCATGCATTGCGCATTATTGATGTAGAGCGCTATTCTTACTTGAGTACATTGTGTACTGCATTCCAAATCAAGGCTCTTGCCACGTGCCTTAACGATATCGTGCAATGTTTATTGATTTACCATGGCATGGCGTGTATAAGAAGTTGCAAAAAGATCTGTGTTGATAATGGCGAGGCATAGTGCCACACAGGTGATATCTGTCTCCGTAGGAGTTACTGAAGTTTTCTGTGAGGCGTGGGCTTACTTTGACTAGAGCGGTACTGAAGCTCCAACTTGAATGATATAACTTTTTGTATGTTGATACTTGAGTTTGATCCTGGGGTTCAATCAATACCAAGCCACGTGCTATGGTCAGCGTGATGTAGCAACTGTAGTATGGTCGCGGGACAAAGGTAGAGCCTTCTCAACTATAACATTGTGTTAGTACAACAGCTCCCATTACAAGTTTTTTGTGTTTTCTTTTTTTTTACAATTATTTGAAACTAAGAGGTCTAACATTTGCGTTTTGTCGATATTTGATTGGTACGAGTGATTCAACAGTACAAAGAATTTTTTGTTAATTATTGTTACAGTAGCTCAAGTATGAAGCGAAATATGTTTATCACGACGTTCATATTCAGTTGCTGATTTCACAAACAGTGAAAATCCATCTTTTAAAATGATGAAAGTAACAGTTCATTTTGTGCCTTGAAATTTGCAGAAATAACCAATTGTGGGAAATCGTTGTAGCCAATCAATTCTTTGTTTGTAAATAAGCGCAAATTGAGTGTCAATATCTCGAATTTCACTTGAAACTTCAGGAACGAATTCATAAATTTTGGTACTTTTCATAGCATTTCATATTCATATCCAGCAATATTGAGGTAATCTCTATTATAGATCTCGTAAATATTCCGATCACAGCGTATGTGTCAGTGTGATCACATGTACATAAAACAGCTAAAAGTACCTCCTGGATCAAATGGGTGTTTTAGTCCAACAGTCAAAACTGTCTTACGGGGTGGTAAGTCTGTTGTTTCTAAAAGGTGTACCGTGCAGTGGTCTATAATAATAGGTGTCTTATTCTTATCACTTAGCTCTTTGGAAAAAATACTTTCAGGCAAATTTAGTGTGTTAGTCACTAGACTAACATGTGCATTGAAACGACTTGATAGGTTTGCTGTATCTGATGAGAAAGGAACAGTGTCAACATTTCCGATTACTTCTTTGTTTTCTGTTTGGCCATTACTTGAAAAATGTTGAACGTGTTCCTCAAAAATGCTAGAACTCCGGCTGTGCACTTCCGTGTCATCGTTGCATTTTTGCCTACGTTCATTTAAAACTTCTATATGTGGGACTTGACAAAATTTATCGGGACCTTGTAAAACGTTTTGACATGCGTTGTCAGCTAAATCGTGATGCTTCTTGTAAAATTGAACAAATGGGAATTTTTGAAAAATGTACTCTACTAAACGCGTATAAAATGCTGCAGACTTGGTACTATAAACTTGGAAAACACCTTGACTTTGGTGTGCATCACTATAAAAATACATTCTTAACTTGGAAAATTGTCCCTGGATACTTAAAAATATGGCGCCAATATTTCTCATAATAAACTTAATGGTCCCTTTGGAAATGTCTTTCTTCGATACAACATAGTAACCTAACTTCGCGATATAATCTTTGGAATATGTGATAAATTGTAAAGCCGGAAACACTAATAGTGCTAGGGTCATTACAATGACTTGTAARAATTGCCTGAAAAATGTCTTATATAACTCGCCTATTGGCGGGAGTGGGTCTTGACTAGTGGGCGTGAATGCCTGATCTGTTTGAGTGTCCGCTGAGTTAGTAACATTCGATTGTGTCAAATCGCTTAAATCATTCATGCTAACAAACTCATCAGGTCTAAACAGTGTTATTTGCGGTATGTCAATGTCCTCGTAGTCATTATTCGTAAATGGTAATTCAGTGAAGAGTTCGCGTATCTCGTCCTCACAAAAACTTTTGCTGTCAAAATCAACTTTATCTGTAGAAACAGTCTCATCAATTGCTATTTTGTCACTTTGGGCTTTATTTTTAGAAACAATCTCGTCATTTGCCAAATTTTCGCCTTGTTTCAGATTCATGTGACTGTCATCAGTCCTAATATCAATAGAATCATTTATCGAATTGTCCGGGATGCCAATTCGCTGAGTAAATTGTTCATTCTGATTGTCCGTCAMTTGTGGATTACTAAGGGGAAGATTCCTATTTCCCTCTATTGGTTTACCTTCAATTTGCTGTGGAGACATGTCAATGTCTTTCTTACTTTGCTTAAGATTAAATTTGCTTACAGGGGTCCCATCAAATTCCCGGGCTTGAGAGACCCTTAATCGTTTAACTGACTCGGGTGTCCTGACGATCGGACATGTCCTCCCCTAGGGTTTTGTGCTGGAATGCGAGGGTCAGGTTCTTGTCCCCAGCCTTCCTGCTGAAACGAGTCGTTTTGCCTATGGTCATTTTGCCTATAGCCATGTTGGCGAATATCATTGAAACCCTGGTCAACGTATTGTCCGTAATCATTGTAACTAGGCCTAAAATTTTGCCTTTCCTCATTTCGGCCATAACCTTCGCGTCTAGGGACATTTTGTCTANGACGTTTCGAATATCATACAGTACAAACATTAAAACCAAGTTGAACTTGCCCAACTTATTTAGCTTTTTTTCYCAAACTTTTGGCTAATCAAGCTGAAATTTTGAAAACATGGATATGTCATGAAGACTACAATTATTCATACTTATGTCTTCTACCTTTGACAGGTCAATCACTCAGTAAAAGACATGARGAAGAAACCAAAAGAATAGGAGACAATGCCCCGTGGCACCGTATTGTCATGGTGAAGTATCGCCGTGTTGTGGCAATGATTATACCTGCACTATTCTTCCATTTCTGGTGGTGGGGAATTTTCATTAAGTACAATCTATGGCATTTATTTAAAGAGAAATATTTTATGAGTATTACTATGGTATTTGCATCAATGATTGCAGGTATGCATGCATGCGGTATGCAGTTCATTCAGAGAACGTTGAAAACTAACTATTGTAAAATGAACTTAAATACTGAGTTTTGGGGGCTATGGACTTTAGATCTTTTGATCTAGGTTGCCTAAGTTATTTGGCTTGATCTCAAGCGTAACATCAGTTCTGACCTTGTAGCCTCCAGAATTCCTCAAAGTTCAAAGTCAGCAAATAAGTAATGGTCGCATGTGTACTCAAACTGTGACTGATTTTTGACATTTTTATACTAGTTTTTCTCCTTCATTATCGCCCTCGCCTCGAATATTCTTGGACTAACTGCGAGGGTAAACTTCACATGTAACTATAAGGATGATTCATAAATAAAACAGTTGTTGTTGTTGTTGTTGTTTCAACGTCTACTGTTTAATTCATATATAGCTCCGAAAGCATGGCGGTATCACTGTTCATTTAGAGGGTTTTTTATAATTACTGAATGATATCATAATCTCAGAATCACGCCTTTAATGCATAAATATCTTTTATCAGGTATGACCAGCGAAGGTGGAGGTGCTGTGGCGTATCCAGTAATGACCTTGGCCTTCAATATTAAGCCAAGTGTAGCCAGAGACTTCTCTCTAATCATTCAGTCATGTGGCATGTCAGCGGCTGCCTTTACTATTTTGTTTATGGTATGTTTCTTGGTACAAAACCATATATCCTGTTACCTTGCATTATCTAGTTTAAATTTTGACTAGAAACAGCTAGACTAGAAATTAGTCCCTTTCTTTCTTTTTTATCTAGAAGTGAGTTTTGAATGTCCATATTTTACTTGCAGAAAGTAAAGGTCGAGTGGTTTTCCCTTATTTTTTGTTCTCTCGGTGGCGTTGCTGGGGTGATTTTTGGACTACATGTGATAGACCCCGCACTTACCCCACCCTACAAAAAGATGGCCTTCGTTTGCATATGGTTTACATTTGCCTTTGCTCTGTTCCTTCTTAATCGCTACAGAAAGAGAACCACCTACAGACGTATCCCTGACTTCAAGGTCTGGAAGGCTCTCGTCTTAATCGTGACTGGCATTGTTGGGGGTATGTTTTCGGCGTTTGCTGGCAGTGGACTCGATATTTGTAGCTTCAGTGTCCTTACGTTGTTGTTTCGAGTATCAGAAAAGACAGCCACTCCAACATCAGT